CGTGCTTACAAAAATGTGCAAAACACCAACAGATCCTCAGTGGCATTCAGTCTGTAATCCTAGCAAGGTAATGAGATTTAGAGAAGCTAAATCCTAAGATTTTTCATTATGCTGTGAAAGTATGTTCAATTTTCATATTTGTTAATGGGAATGATTTCCGCTTATCGTTTGTTTATAACACAGTAGATACAAATTTCAACCTAAATTTGTATAGAATATACATTATTAACAAGTCAAACTATTTTGATCTCCCAAAAGCTTACTTTGAGACTTACCTCACTCCTTCCCAGACCATTACAAGAATTAAATCTTCATAGTCATACAAACTAAAATTTCATGAAATTTCAGACTCCAGGCCTTCAAAATCCTGGTAGCATTTTACCTCCTACATTATAGCACATGACAATTGTCTATGATCATTATTAATTCTTTCCGCATCTGAATTAACAGAATTATTACCTGAATTATTATTTTTATCTGAATCACCAGTGGCTGGGCCCAGCCGTTAGCAGAGAGCAGATCTGATATACCTAAGGTAAACTGCGAGCTGACAGCTCTTACTTTTTCAGTATCAGGTAAGTTCCTGCACTGGCAAAGGATCACTTCGTCTAGTAAGTCCTTCCATCAGAAAGTATTTCTCCCACTGCTGAGAGTTTAAAGTGACAATCAAAACATTGTCAGAACTAGCAAATATTAGATTTTCAATTTATCAAAAGTCTATTACTAATGCTTGCCTGTTCTTTAAAGAAAGATGTTTGCTTTATATGAAGATGCATATCCCTGGTGATTTCAGACTTCAGAAAAATGATATGGAATAAGAAGCTGCTCTTTGCCCTTAAATTTGAAAGAAATGATCCTAATTTCTTAACTTACATTGTGGCTGTTAGTATTTGCTATATAGTATAGGATAGGTAAATACTACTAAGTTTTATGACACCTCTGTCAGGTAGATATTTTAAAAAAGGAAAGAGAAGAGGCATACAATGTTTTGGGAAAAAACCCTCTAAACCATAATCCTGATGCGATTTCCTCATGTCTTTCTGGGAAGAATCCTGCAGTGGAATCCCAGACTCCATGTTAAATTAGGGCAGAAAATACTCTTTCCTCATAAAACATGCTTAACCTCCCACAAAACTCCAATAAAAGTGCTATTACATGGATTACCAGTATCTTAAATACTGAAAAGAAATGCATGTGAAAATACCCACTCTGTAAGTTCATGCATAAAAGCCAAGAGCAAATACTCAGCCTAATCTATAACAACTGATTAATCTCAAATATTAAACAGCAAAATATACAACACTGTAAGAAAGTAAAACTTATTGGCAAATCAGCCCACAATACTAGTGGGAAGAACACAGCCCCAAGGGAGGGGCACATCTCTTAAGGAAAATAACACGACAAACTCCATAAAACAAGTTTAAATATATCTTAATGCCAAGCCACAGCGCAAAACCAATGCCTTTATCTTCTATAAATGACAAGGTCAGATATAAATCTGCAGACAACCTAACATTGTGCAGTAGCGGCCGTTCACTGTATGGAGCCGCGTTGATGCAGCGGGGCAGGAAGGGCACAAGAAGGGCGACTCTCCAGCTCACTGCGCTGTCCCTCCCGGCAGATTCGTCTCTGGTTGAAATTTCATGCCAAAAGAGCTTTACAGCAATGCTCAGAGAGGGAGAACAAGATTAAAAAGGACATAAAGAAGGGGGCAGGGAGCTCCAGAGATGCTTTAAGAGAAAGCCAGCAAGGTACAGAGATACAGGAGGATAAAACCATTGTGCAAAAGAAAAGATGGGCTGTTCAAAAGGAAAGAATGAACTGGCAGCGATCAGCACTGAGTATCATGAACAGATGAAGGCAAATGCAGGCTAAAGTGCAACTGCTTTAGGATTTTATTTTTAGTCGTACTGTTAAAGAAAATGGGCTTTCAAAGCAAAGTACTTCATGGCTAGCACATTCATCTGCTTTTAAGCAGGATGTATAAAGACTACATCACCAGCATAAAGGAAACTTTAAATGTCACTATAAAATCTTTACTGAAGAAGAAGTTCAAACTGCAAGTTATAGATCCTGAACCAAACTTTCCAAAGTTTGGAGCACCAGTATTTCTGAATGTTTCTCATTAGAAGTGCTTTTAAGAGCACTTACAGAAAAGGGTTAATTTCTTTCTATTATCAGTAACGCTAAGTATAGTAAGAATTAATGTATGCAAGTTGTAATGGATTCTCAAACCCAGAAACATCACTCTCCCATCAGAAAACATTCATGAAATTTAACAAAATTCATGTAAACTCAGTCTACTGGCATTTATGAATCAGTCACTTCCAATTCCCCATTTCTAGCTGTATGAGCTCTTACACATACAGTCTTTCCGTCATGAAAGAACCGACTGATTAAAATTCAGAGATGGCAAGCAGGGAGCAAGGTTACTTATTGAAGCAGAAGGAACAGACCCTCCACCAAACTGCCTGGCCTTCTGCTGGGCAGAGAGCTAAATCTAGTCCAGAGACACAGAGAAGAATCAGAGCGCCTTTAAATTCTGGAAAGGTACACTTTCTATGGAGCATTTCTTTGCTTCTGTTGAAATATATGAAATATTAATGTCAATTCATTACACATCAATGCATTTGTATACTCCCTTGTTATCAAGTGTCCAAATGAAAACAGTCTGTTCTGAATAATTTACTCCTGAATCATCAGCCACCTTTCTTCTGCACATCCAGGAGATCTTCACTATTCGCCAAATCACATCTATGACTGACAACCTTTTAGAAAAGATGTTCTCTCTGTTAAGTTTCAGAAAGGTGCTAGCATATACGTATTTGATGTGCCACAAAACTTGATATTTAGAACAGATGTAAATGTGCTAACAATAAAGTAAAAATACATACAAAGACTACAAAACGTGATGGTTTTAAGTTTGTGGGCTGGATCCAGCGTGCAAGAACAACTTGTTCAACCTCCAATTGTAGTCTCTGCAATCGTCTTTCCAGGAGGTCCCCAAACACATGTGGGAAGAGGCTGAGGGCTGGATGATCTGTTCAGGCAACCCACTTGCTGCCGTTTCGGTCCTGGGCTTGCCAAAACTCAGCCCATCACAGAGGCGTGCAGCCCGATGCGGCTGCCTCAACCAAAAGCTTTTCAGCGGAGAGTCTATTTAATCCAGAGCTAAAGACTACGTGAACCACAGCTCCTTAAAACAAACACCGATTTTGACTCAAGTGGTGACAATGCTAATTACTCCATGATTGTTTCTGTAAGTACCAGTCTAAGACCCTTATTCACACCAAGTGTCAGACTGGCTGACAGCTCACTACTGTCAGGCAAAAGTTATGTCTGACGGCAGTTCAAAAAATACATTCACACAACCACTTCCCTTTGAAATATGAAACTGCATTGCTAAAATAATTCACTGTGGTTTTGTTGTGGGGCTCTTCGGTAAGAGAAATTACAGTATCTCAGAAATGTGTATTCTCCCTTCATGTTCACATCCCTTTTCTCTCGCTGCACAGGGTGGAAGAAATATAAACGTACTCGTTGATTGATGTTACCGTAATAACCCATTACTGGGGAAAAAACAATTTCAAAACAAGAGTCACTACCTACATAATTCCCTTATGAAATACAACAGCAGTTCTGAGTTAAGGATTTATTTTTTTTTTCTTTTCAATGAACATGGGTATATTTCCCATTTGCTCACTAATGTACTCATTCTAATGTACTCACTATAACCTTTTTTTTTTTTAATGCTTTCCATTTGTTACTAATAGAGTATAATTATTTCCAATCTCAAGATCCTGAGCAGAAAATTCCACTTTTTTGAGGCTAGGAAAAACCCTAAAACCACACGCCATTGTTGTATTGGTCACTGCAGAGATACACGAGTGGAAGGTGGAGGGTCAGCACTTAGGAAGGATAAGCTTTCAAAGACTGAGAAGAAAAGTGGACTAACAGAATAACTTCAACAATATATACCGTCTCTGTAGGATCCCAATTTACTCGTACATTCATTCTGGCCTTAGTATAGCCACACAGTTTCAATTAAATCATTCAGCGTGCATAGGTATACTCCAGGTATGTGTATATATGTGTGTACATATTTTAGATACACTTAAATCCAGGTACTCTTTTGCTATAAGCTACTAAAATATTATGAAATCCAAGGAAATTTGCTAAATGTTAACTATTACCATCAAAACCCCCAAATTAGCTCATGGTATGATTTGCAGTAGCTACTGCTAAGAAATGAGGTTTTAAGATTCGCTAACACATCGCAGAGGAGAAAAGATACCAAATTGAAAGGCATTTATTGTCAGAAAAAGACAGAATTGAAGATGGGAAGCTGTGCCTTTAGTTGTACATTCATACGAATTATAAAGATTAAAAAGAAATGCAGTGTTCAGCACCAATAGAGCTATATATCTCTTTCAGGAAGATAAGAACAGATTGCATAATGTGACTGGTAATAAAGATGTACTTGTAACATGAAAATAGGCGTTATGTAAAATAAAGATGAGTCTTTCCCCCTCCTTTGTCCTAAAATGTAAGGGAGGCTTGATCATCTTAATTTGTGGACTTTTATTCTTTTGCAGCTTCTACTTTGCAGATATTACCTAATTTTAGTATTTGATTAGGGAAAAAAAAAAACACAACAAACTGATTGACTTCACAGTGCATGGAATACAAATACAATTTTAATGTAATTGCTAGTATGGCTGATTTTACGTTTGATTTCTATGTCCTCAGATTTTCCAAGCTTAATGTAAAGAGACCTGACAATATATCTACGAAGATACAAAAAAAAAAGCAAAAGTTGCATTTACCACCCAGAATGTATCTTTGTATCCAAAGATGGACCACAAGTTTGAGTACATTAAAGGCCCCGTGGTGAAAAATACACCGACTTGATTTAGATGCAGTGAATTCAGCAATAGGTAAAATGTCCCAGCACACACATAGCTAAATGAGGTTTATGTATTTTGCAAAAGAAAGCTTACCTGCTCATTTTTTCCCAGTTCCATTTCAACTATCGCAACAGGAGTGTTTATCTGATCAATGTGTCTTGACTGTGCCTTCAGATCCACTCGCCAGTTCATGTTTTTTAAGACATTATCCCACCGGCTTTGGTTGATCAGGCTCTCGTGGATCTTTATCCGGTGGTTCTTCCAGAATTTTGCAATGACTGCAGCTTGATCTGACGTGATGCCACCTTGTTTTTTGGTTTGGGCAGTGAGAAAAGCCTCCAGCTGATTCAAATCCATGTCCGCTGAAGCAATTGACTGTAGGGATTTTTTAGGGAAAATAAGAGGAGTAAAAGGGAAAAGCTTGCTCAAAAATACTCTTTAGCAGTCTACTAAATGGTCACATCTTTAGGGTTTTATAAATACTGGATTTTTAAAGGGATAGTGCAAACAAATCTGGGTTCTGCAAATAACCTGACAACTTTAATTAAAACTCAATTAGCAAGTGCCTACCACGTATCCCAGATTCCTGTCTCCGGACAGTTGGAGGGTGATGGATTGGTAACAGTGATGAGGAAGCCAGGCGTGCCTTTGGGAGCCGTACTGGTACAGGGTAACAAGGAGGCTTCTCACTGTCTGCCTGACT